TGAATTCAGAATAGAAGTGCCTCTGATCAATGGTCTAACAGAAATCCACAGATGACATGACTGCATTCAGAATCATCTCCTAGAAAGTCTGCCCAGAGATGACTAAGACACTACAATCACCCTTCAGAGGCAACAGAGACATCTAAACCCCACCCCTCTTTGCCTTAGAACCAGGTGGGCTTCCAACATCTCATCTACCAAAGGGTCCGTCAGTCTAGTTGTCATGAGGATGTGAATTCCATGGAGGCAGAGACTTTGTTTGGTTTCCTGGTCTGTTCTAAGAAGGTCTGGCACGTGGTAGCTGCTCAATTCGTATTTACTGAATGAATAAACAAATAAAAATGCCTGATCTGCTCCTGCCCCTTCTGCAAAAGCCTAATCCCATGATGCTGCTCAGTGGACACTTGAATGAAGCCTGGTCCCTCAGATGATCCTTTGGGATCTGAAACTGGAATATAAATTGGGAAGTGATTCGAAGCCAAGAGTGATCCAGGTACGGTGGCTCATACCTGTAATCCCAACACTTTGGAAGGCCAAGGTGGGCAGATCACTTGAGGTCAGGAGTTCGAAACCAGCCTGGCCAACATGGCGAAACCCCATCTCTACTAAAAACACAAAAACTAGCCAGGTGTGGTGATGTACACCTGTAATCCCAGCTACTCAGGATGCTGAGGCAGGCGAATCACTTGAACCTGGGAGGTGGAGGTTGCAGTGAGCCGAGATTGCGCCACCGCACTCCAGCCTAGGTGACAGAGTGACGCTCCGTCTCAAAGAAAAAAAAAATGTCAAGAGTTGAGACAGCCACACTTATCCCAGGAGAATGGAAAAGCAAGGACAATTGATCTGTAGGGAGGGGAGAATGTAGCAAGTGCTTAGAAGGAGGCAGGGAGGAGAGAGAACGATCCTGGAGTGTGGGTGATGGTCTCGGTCTGTGCCTCTGCCATCCTGATTCCAGTCCTTTGGGAGTTGATGCTTTCTGCCCTTGGGCTCTGTATTCTAAAAATATTTTGCTTTTTTTGTGTCAGAGTTGTTGTTATCTGTATTGTTAAAATATAGAAATCTTTTAGCTTAAGTTACTTAGGTTGTTAGTTGTTTTCTTATAATAATGTCTCCTTTTTGTGTCAGATTGTTTTGAGTGGGTTTCTGTTTCTTGTGTTTTTATGATAAGTTACCCCTTTGCTTAAATTGCTCTGAGTGGTTTTTTGATTTGAAACTAGATATTTCCTAAGATTCTACCAAACTGTTTCTGCTTCTCACTCGGGAAGCTGGGTGTGGAGAAAGTCCCCTGGTCTCTCTGCCTTGGGTCAGAGGAAGGGTTAATCTCAGAGAGTAATTTCCACTGTGCTAAGCCCAACTGAGTCCAGCAACATCTCTCTATGTGGGGCTCTGGTAGGCCCCTTTCACCTTCCTGAGCAAGACCCCTGAAGCCACAGCTCCCAGGATACTCAGACTTTCGGCGTTAACAGAGCCCCGGATCTCTCTAAAAGACATGGACACTGATGCCTCCTGGATGCAGAGGCCAATTCTGCTTTTCCTGAGGACCCAGCCCTGCCTCCATGTGGAGGTCCTCAGTGGGCTGCTTCTCCATCTATGGTTCCCTCCAGACTCACAGGGTGTGGAATGTCTAAGTTCTTTGCCATGGACTGGTAAAGCATATGGGACACATACATCTATCACAAATATTCATATTATAAATATCCCACACTTATTACATGTGCAAAACATTATGCTCACACTTTATATCTTCAGCAAACAGAAAAGAACATGTACTGTGTTCCCCTGGGTTAGCCCCATTCTCCCTTCCAAACAAAGGCACAGCAAATGCAATACCAATGACATAGTAGGAAAAAGGAGGTGGGATGAAAGTGGGTGGATCAAAGTACATGTCAAGTACTTATTGGCACTGGGCACTCTGCTTGGTGCTGTGTCTATTTGCTAACCCTCACAACAACTCCTTCATTTAGTGTCACTGTCTCTTTTTTGTGGATGAGGAAGCAATGCTCAGAGAAGTTAGGCAACTTGTTTCAAGCCATACAGTTATGAAGTGATGGAGCCTGCCCTATAAAGAAAGATATTGTGCATGGGAGAATATCATCAAAGCCATGGGACCTGATAGCAAAGTAGACCCATTCCAGGAAACCAAGAATCCTGGCATAGGCAGAAGCAGACCAGAGGGTAAGGCAGGAGTCCCTGGGTTCCACCAAATGGGCTACTAGACCAGAGGCCCAGGGAGATAGTACAGGGTGACTAATATTAGGAGGTGTGTAGTCTGGGAAGAAAAGAAGGAAGGAAGGAAGGAACTAATGAAGGATGCTTGAGGCTTTCAATAGGCACCTGCCACCCCTCAAACACACATAGTTAGCTTTATCTTGGTACTTGCACTACAGAGCCTCATAGGGTGATGCGGGATGCGTCTGTAGGCTGTGCCTCTCTTCTCCCCTCTCTCCAGTAATTGGCTGCTTGGCTGACTCAGATGGCAGCTGGGGAGGTCTTATTCCCTGGGTTATGGTTTAGTTCTAAAGACTCCTCTAGATACCACCTTGGATCAACAGGTAAAAGTGGAAAGAGGATTTGAAAGTATGGCTCTCAGACCATGAATTTCCCTGAAGAAGACCTGGGGAGAGATGGCCACAGTCAGGTAGCCATGAACAAGGTGACTGGAGAGGAAGCTGAGGGGGTTTCTACCCAGTAGCTTACTGTATCCAGGGAAGCTGAAATGAAATCATCTTATAAAAAATGAGGCTGACAGGGGTGACATTTGGGGTGAAGTTTGGAATCTCTGCCAAGAAGAACTCAGTTGGGTCAAGTCAGAGGCTTCTCTGGTGGTTGCTAAGACTTGGCTGGGGGAAACGACATCACCTGTAGTGACTCTAAGTATCATGTTTGTGCAGCTTCGTCTGGGTGTCCTCAGCCATGTGGGTGTGGGTTCAACAAAGGGTACAGTTTTGCAAGGTGTATGCACTTGGAGGACTAGGGGGCAGGCAATTGAGGGTACTGATGAGAATATGAAGGAAGAGATGAATAATAAGAAATGGTGATGACATGGGAGTGGGGATGGTGGTGGTGGGAGCAATGGAGGTCCCAGACTGGGTCTAAGTCATGGCTTCTGTTAGAATTCCAAAGTGTCTGACTGTGCTGATATCAGTGTGTGGAAGAGGGTTTGGGCCCAGGAGGTTTACCAAATGGCAGGTGCCTGCAGGCAGAGAGGATGCCAGAATATCCATTCCCTAGGCCAGCCCCATGAGGCAAGAAGACTACAAGTAAAACATTCTCCATTTTGCGCACCAGTCTTCTAGAACTGTACCTGGCAAACAGGAGATAATCGAGAACTATGAGGAGTTCAATGAGTTGATGGATATGGAGCACTTAGGATGGTGCTGGCAGCGGGCAAACACTAAGTCTGCCATTGTTCTAATTAGTGTTATGTGAGCTTATGTGAGATATTCCCAGGGGTGGCCAGAAATATTTAATTAGGGGACACTTTAAAAGGTATCTGAGGTCCTATGTTATGCAAGTGGGGAACATGAGCCAGAAAATTTTTAATTTTAACTGGTAATGTGACCCCATTTGTATGCTCAGGCTGATGAGGCCTGGGTGAACCTGGGTTATAGTTACAATAACAAAATTTATCATTCCCAGAGCATCTGTAGAGTGTTTAGTATATATGGAGCATTATACATATATACACACACACACACACACATATATATTATATATATATAAAATATGCATGTATAAAATAGCTTTTAATCTTAACCTCCTGCAACATAATTATTACTAGCAACACTTTGTAGATGATGTTCCAAGAGATAATAACTTGCCCAGCTCACAAATCAAGCAAGGAAGGGAGCTGGGATTTAGATAATGGGATTTGAGATAATTAGTGAAGACTAAAAGGTCAAAAAGAGATAATAGCGTAGAAGACAGTGGAGTGCTCGAGAGCCTGGAACTCCTCTTACTACACTAATAATATTTGAACATTACAGAATGCGTGATATGTGCCAGGAACTGTACCACGGACTTTCATGCATGCACTCACTGATCTTTCCATCACTATGAAGCAGGAATTTTCCTACCATGGTTTTATAAAGGAAGAAATGCCCGAGGCTTCAAGAGGTTCAATATTTTATCCAAGGTCACGCACATGTTAAGTCGTAAACATGAACTTTCAATCCAATTAATTTGACAGTCAATGCTCTTAACCGGGCAGGGACAGCCTGTTTTTGTAAGTGAATTTTTCTTAGAATGCAGCCACGCTCATTTGTTTATATCTGTGGCTGCTTTAGCACTACAGTAGTAGGGCTGAGTAGTTGTGATAGGTAAACCTACAATATTTACTATTTTTAAGAGAAAAATTTTTGACTCTTTCGACCACAACACTGTTGAACTTGCCTTAATTAGCACAGACATGCCTTAATTAGCACAGCTGGAAGGATGAACAAATGTGATCAGGAGGTATCAGAAAGTGACCAATCTATGACGAGGTGTCAGAGTATGGCCAAGGAGTGTCCTTGGGACACAGGTCTAAGCACCGTGACCCTAGGATTAGGTGGGCTGTCCATAGGGATGCTGAAGTTACCCAGGATGGTGAAAAGCTCTGGGTGGAGAGGAAGATTGAGCCTCATATCAGAACCCTCTTTAGTGAAGTGGAGTACCCAGGAAGATATCAGCTGATAGCTATGAAGTGAGGGTATGAGGCTGAAGTAGAGTTAGGAATGACCCTCATTAAAAAAGAGGAGAAGAAGAGTAGTGGTTGGAAATAGATGGGGTGCAAAAATAATGCTGGTCCCCTTTTTCCCACCCCTAGAGAATACAGGCGTGAAAGACTAAGCCATCTGGGGGGCCTCAGGAAAGGCAGGTTTCTGCAGGCGGCAGCAGTGCTAGGGTTGGTGTGGGTTTGCCGTGGTCCAGTCCAGGCTCTCCTCACTACGCTACACTACTTACCCTCTGCCATGTTGGCTGGACCTATCCTTAGTACTCTCTGGCACCAGGGCCCTTACCTGTATAGTCAATGACGAAGCCAGCATTGCTCACAGATGCATCGCTGCGGAAGGCGAGGAAGAGGCTGTTGCTGCTGCTTTCGATGCGGCCTGGGAGCTGGGAGCCATAGAAGCTTCCTATGAGAGGGCTGAGAGAGTCCCGTCCGTCGTAGATATGGAGGAAGTCATAGCCAGGCTCCAAGTTAAAGCTGGGGAACAAAAACATCCCACCCCCACCCCACTAAGGTCAAATAAAGGCTTTTGCTGGGGTCTTAGGCTCAACCAAAGCATGGGGCCTCCCGGGGAGCAAGCCCACCATCCCACTGGTGCCCAACCCCTGAAGACTGGCTGGTGGGAAGGGAGAAGATGAGGCCCTGATGACCTCAGTCAGGTGAGAAGATGGAAGAGGTAGGCTCAGGGGCAGAGGAGCCAGATTCCAGTCAGTGTCCAAAAATCTGGAGCTGAAAACCTAACATCCTCCTTATACAGAAGGGAAAATGAGTTGCCAACTCTAGACACCAAGTTGTCAACCAAAGTAGGTCCAAAACCCAGGTCTCTTACCTGACACTAATGTCCTTATACTGTGCTGTTCTGAACCTCATTTTCTAAGAGAGAATGAACCAACTAGGGAGCCATTCTCAGGGAGGAAGGGGCCTGTTACCATGAAGGACCCTAGCTTCGTGCCTTCATCCCAAGCCAGTGCTCCAGCTCTCCTCAGGGTCTGCTATTGCCCCACTCCTAGGACCCACAAATGTCCTCACCCTTAGCTATTCTGACCCTGGTGTGAGGGAAAAATCCATTTTAAAAACTTAGATGAGCAAATTGAATATTTGAGTTCATGAATGTAATTTATCCCACTGGAATGGCTCAAGTGAAAATGATGGAAAATGCATATTATGAAAAAATTATGCATGGAGTTCAAAAGTTTTTTGTATCAAAATCAACTCACACTAACTTGTTAACATGTCTGCATAGGATCTAATGTGAAGCATTAAAAAGGACAAGATATCAGCTTAAAAAAAGCCTCTATCAGAGCAACATGAATTCTGCTAAAATTGAAGCAAGAAAAAACATCAAATTTATGGTGATGCTTGGGTAGAAGGACGGTGATGTCGCTGATGCTTTACAAAAGGTTTATGAGGACAATGCCTCAAAGAAATCAGCAGTTTACAAATGGATAACTTGTTTCAAGTAGGGAGGGGATGATAATGAAGATGAAGCCTGCCAAGGCGGATCTCCACATCAATTGGAGAGGAAAACAATTAATCTTGTTTGTATCCTAATTGAATAGGACCAATAATTAATAGCACAAATGAGAGCCAACACCATAGACATCTTGACTGGTTCAGATTACACAATTTTGACTAAAAAATTAAAGTTGACCAAATTTCTACTTGATGGGTGTCAAAACCATTGTGCCTAGGTCAGCTACAGACAAAGGCAGAGCTTTCAATGGAAATTTTAAAAATGTGGGATCAAGATCCTGAAACATTTCTCCCAAGAACAGGAGATGGAACATGGATTTACCAGTACAATCTTGAAGACAAAGCACAATCAAAGCAATGGCTACCAGGGAATGGAAGTGTCCAGTCGAAGCAAAAGTGGAGCAAAGGTCAAGGTAATTTTTTTTTTTTTGATGCTCCAGGCATTTTGCAGTTGATTTTCTGAAGGGCCAAAGAATGATAACATCTGCTTCTTAGGAGTTTGTTTTGAGAAAGTTAGCTAAAGCTTTAGCAGAAAAATGCTTCAGGAGAGAGTCCTTCTCCCTGACAACAATGCTCTTGATCATTTCTCTCATCAAACAAGGGTAATTTTTCAAGAGTTTCAATGGGAAATCATTAGGCATCCACTTTACAGTCCTGATTTGGCTCCTTCTTATTGCTTTTTGTTTCCTAATCTTAAAACATCTTTAAAGGGCACCCATTTTTTCTTCGGTTAACAAAGTAAAAAAGACTACACTGACATAGTTAAATTACCAGGACCCTCAGTTCTTCAGGGATGGACGAAATTACTGGTATTGTTGTTTACAAAAGTGTCCTGAACTTGGTGGAGTTTATGTTGAGTAATAAAGTTTATATTTTTTATTTTTATCTTAAATTCAATTTTTCCACAAACTTTTTGAAGTCCCCCATATGCTTGCGCTCTGGTGCAGCAATTCCACTCTTAAGTATATATCTAACAAAGGCAATTGATACCAATCAAGTGTGCAAAGATGAAAACAATAGATAAGTAAATGAGCTTGCAGAGAATAGATTTCAGATGCAAATTTGCTCATGCCCAGTCACGGACTGGGATACTCAGGTACAGCAAGTCCTTAGCATTGTCCACAGGCTCTCAGAAACCATGACTTTAAGTGAAATGACATAAAACAAAAGCAACTGTTTGTTTCTCATCAACACACAGGCTGGGCACGGTGGCTCATGTCTGTAATCCCAGCATTTTGGGAGGCCAAGGTGGGCAGATCACTTGAGGCCAGGAGTTCGAGACCAGTCTGGCCAAAATGGCGAAACCCTGTCTCTACTAAAAATACAAAAATTAGCTGGGTGTGGTGGCATGCACCTGTAATCCCAGCTACTCGGGAGGCTGAGGCATGAGAATTGCTTGAACTCGGGAGGGAGAGATTGTGTGAGCCAAGATTATGCCACTGTACTCCAGCCTGGGTAACAGAATGAAACTCTGTCTCAGAAACCAAACCAAACCAAACCAAACCAAACCAAACCACACAAACCAATATAATGAAATGACATTGAAGGAAACATTTGAGGACCTGCTGTACTTTATTTTACTTAAAGTCACAGTTTCCAAGAACCTGTTGATGACATTGAGGACTTATTGTATTCTATTTGAGATTGAGAGTAAAATGACTGCTCTACCCTTTGGCTAAGATATATAGCAGGGGGAGGAGGCCAAGCATCTCTAGGACAAAGGAGATAAGGCAGGCTAAGAGACAGGATGGAGGAATGGGAGGCAGGGGGCGCAGAGCCAGATGTGCACTGGCCTCCTTCCCACCTGGCACCCTGTCACACTGGTGTCAGTTGCGGGCTCACCACACTACTGCTGGGTGACGTGGTTTTCTTGCCCCTGTAATTCAGCTTCTTGACATCTGCTTTTATGAAAGTCACCAGTGAAGGGTTTTGGAGGGAGTCAGTCTTGGTCACAAATGATGGCATCACCACTTCCTAACTAACTGCCTTCTTTCTGTCCCTCCCTTCCTTCCATCATCAAATTTTGAGCACCCTCGATATTCCAGGCACTGTGCAAGGTGCCAAGGACATGGGGACATGTCAGACACCACTTCTGCCTTCAAAAATTGATGGTGCTTTAGGAAGTGACAGACATGTCAACAACAAAATAATGTATAAAGTCAGCCCGAGGCAGAGCAGAAACACAAAGCAAGGTTCCTTGGGGAGGATGAAAAATCAAACGTTTATGGAGGAAATCAAGCCTGAACTGAGTCTTGGGAGATGAGAAGACCCTTAGAGATAGGACAAGGAGAGAACAGGAAGTTGCTGTGAAGGCAGAAACAGAGGCAAAGTCATAAGGGCATGAAAGAATCCAAGAGGCCCTGGAACTGCAAGGAGTTCCATCTCGCTGGAGCTCAGGGCTTAGGATGGGGTGGGCTTAGGATGGGATGGGGGGGGCTGACTGGAGAGGTAGGCAGAGACCAGTTTGTTTGGAATGAAACTCCGAACTTCGGGCCTTTATTTATAAGCAATAGAGGACCATGTTAGGATTTAAAAATAAAGGATCTGTTTGTTTCTTTGTTTTTGAATTGAGGTATGATTTATACCGTGTGAAATGATCAGCTCTAAGGTGTGCCACTCTATCAGTTTTGACATATGCATATCAAGATCCAGAACTGTCCCACCACTCCAGAGAGTTCCAAGTGCCCCTTCCCATTCAACCTTCCCTACCCTCAGATGCCAGCACTGATCAGAATTCTTCACCAGGGATTAGTTTTGCTGATCCTACAATTTTATACGAGTTGAATCATACATTATGTACTTTTTTATGTCTGTCTTCTTTCACTCAGCATAATATTTTTGGGACTCATCCACGTTGTTGCATGTATCAGTAGTTCATTCTTTTTTATTGCTGAGCACTGTCATTAGAGGATGTTAAAATGGAAAGTAGGGTGGTTATTTCAGCATTTTTGAGTGACACGATCACTCTGACAGCTAGCTAGGGGAGAGATTGGCATGGGAGGCAAGATGGGGCAGAGGAACCAACTAGGCGATGAGGGCAGTAATTCAGATGGGAGATGATAGGACTCAAACCAGGACAGGAGCTGGGAGGATGGAGAAGAGGAAAATACATGAGGAGAGTGAAGGCGGTAGAGGCTGCACGCCTCGGTTGCTGCTAGTGGAAGAAGCCGTGAGAGCAGGTGTCAACGCCAGCCCCAAGGCTTAGAACAGAGCTCTTCTGGGGGAGAAAAATATGCTTGATTTTGTACATGCTCATTTGCAGTGCCTGCAGGCCGCACACAGAGATGTCCAACAGCTGGATAGCGAGGCTGACGCTCAGAATAAAGCCAGGGTGGGCGGCAGAATGGAGTCTTCCATTTATAAGAGGAGAGTGGAGACACAGGAATGACTGAATTTGTCCAGGAAAGGGGTGTAGGGTAAGAAGAGGAGGTTTGACAAAGCCCGGCAAAGGAAGATGGGTTAACAAGAAGTTCACATGACGTCACAGAAGAGCTTGGAGAACTGGAAAGAGTAACTTCATGCAAACCAAGCGAAAAAGCAGCCTAAGGATGGAAAGGGCGATCAAGAGGTGGAGTGGGATAAAACATGGAAAGGCCTTTTGTTTGGAACCAGGAGTTTGTGGGTGGCTTTTATCAGAGGAGTTTCCAGTAGAACCGTGGAGGCAGAAACCAGGTTCCAGTGGGTTGAGAGTGAATGGGAGGTGAGGAAGTAGATGAAGGCAGAGCAGTTCTTTTGAAGAGCTTTCCTGTAGCAGGAATGGGAGAGCAAGTGCAGGTACTAGATGCGGAGGTGCCTGGGACCCAAGCCGGCCCGTTTATACCTCTGGGGTGGGGTGGAAGGGGCCAGGGAAGCAGACTGGGAATGCAGAGGGCAGGGCAAGGGCGTCCAACAAAGGCCTCCTTTCCGAGTCCCAGTATCTTCAGAGGTAAAGAGGAAATACTAATTGCTTCCTCACTGATTACTACAAGGATTAGATGTGATGATATGCATGAGACCACTGAGCGCGGTGCCTGGCACATAGATGTTCAATAAATGCTAGTTTCTCTCTCTCGGCTTTTTCACCTCCCATGGAGCTGAGAACTCTGCTCACACACCTGTGAATACTCACCTGGAGACCCAGGTCCCAGAGCCCCTAGCTGCTCTGAACCCTTCGTCTCCCACCCGGGGGAAAGGTACATACATGTTAAATACCAGGGCGATGACGTAGTCTGGCGAGACGGTCACTTTCCAGTCACACTCCTTCCCTGGTGGGTAGGGTTCTGGGTAATTTGGTGACAGGATGACTCCAGATGGTCCTGTCAGGTCTCCCCCGCAGGGAGCTGAGGAGAGAAGAAGACGAGGGTGAGGCTGCCTCTTCACCCTGGGCTCATTTTCATGGGTGTTGCTAATGCACTATCGAGAGGAGGAGCTGAAGCTGACAGGCTGAAGTTAACCTGGCTTAGGGACTCAGGGGAAGGTGAAATGATGGAGTTCTACTTTGGAGTGGTGGGAATGTTTTGGAGATAGTGGTGGTGGTGCACAACATTTCGAAAGTACCCGATGCCACTGAACTGTTCATTGAAAAATGGGTAATGTTATGTTAGGTGCATAATAAATTATTTTTAAAAATACCTGGCCCTGTTGCTTCCTAGCAACAGAGTTCCTGTGAACTTAGGGAACTCATCTAGCCTCTCTGGCCCTTGATGTCTTTCCTGTCATAAAAAGAGACAATATCTTCTTTGTGGGGTGGTTGTAAAGATTATGGGACATGTCTGCTAAAGCATTTGGTAGAGAGTGAATGGTTGATAGATGGAGCCGGCACTGTCTGCACACCTATGAAGTACATGGCCTTCCTTCACTGTCTCATATCGGCTTCCAGGCGAGCTTTGTGGGTACTGACTGTGAGTTCCTGTGCACTCGATGTCAGGAGGAGTGGGAAACAGGCTCATGTTTGCCTGCCAAGCGCAGCTGGTCTCCTACGCTACCAGTGCTCCTGGCATCTGCTCACGGCTGCAGATACCTTCCAACTTTCCAAAAGGCCTTGTCCAAGAGTATGTGTGTACCTCAGTTGTATGGAGCTACTATTAATCCCCAATCAGTCTACATGGTCGCCCTCCCCTGAGATGACAGGTCTCTCAAGCAGGTGGGGAGGGAGAAAGTGGCCAGGTAACACAGCAACCTATTTACCTCGGGACCTTCTGGGCAGCTTCCCCAGAGCCTGGCTCAGGTCTCTTCCTCCATGGCTGGGGCTGCTGTACCGTGGCTTGAGGACTGGATAGAGTAAAAGCTGGGAAGTGTGTGAGGTCATTAGCAGGATGGCCAAGATTATAGGTGTAGTTTGGTATGGAAACCACAGGGCACCATCAGAGGTTGTAAACACTGAGCCCATAGGAACACAGAGAGCCATTTAGGGGCTGGCTAGAAAATCCAAGATGAGTCTTTGTGGGGAGAGCAAAAGGGTATACCTGACTCCAAAGTTGGGAGCAGCCATCGGCTTGTCATAGAGCTGAGCACTGCTGCTTTGGCTGTGTCGTGGAGCCACCTCCGGCTGTGGGTTTTACTCAGGGTGAGGCTTAAAGGGCTGGGTCAATCCCTAACAGGGTCTCAAACAAATGGTAGATCTTCAGGTCAGGCCACAAGAGCCCTAATGTGGCTGAACATAAAATTGGAGTGGTTGTGAGTAGTTTGCTTTTTGTTCCATGGGAAAATATATCCCAAGAACCATCCTGAGTTTCAGAAACACTCAAATAGGCATCTATTACGTATCAGACTTAACAAATCACATTTTAGATGCACTATCTCATTTATGTCTCATTAACAACTCAATGAGCAATGGATTATTCTTCCTGATTTATAAAGGAGGAAAGTGAGTCTCAGAAAGCCTAAGTAACTTGCCCAGAGTCACTCTGAGACTCAGACTCACACAGGACTGGCTCCAAAGTCTGTTGTTTTCCCTCTTCTACTTCCATATGGTTGGTGGCAGTAACCAGAGTAGAAGAGAAGTGCTTCTCCCCACAGGCCAGCAGGGGAGAGCACAGCTGTTGCAGGAGCTTCTGAACGAGGATGGTGCCTTAAGTTGGGTCTGCTTATGTCTCACTTGTGTCTCCACCACTGAATCCTTTGGGAGCAGAGGGCGAGATGAATAGGGCCAACCAGAGGCCAGTACAATCAGGCTAGACCCTGGAGCTTAACAAAGCAAGACTGTAATGTCCAGCCCATGGAGTGTGGCCTTGCCCAGGCCAGCCTAGAAACAGAGCCTGATATGGCCAGTGAGAGTGGAAAGTGAGTGTCGTTATCAGAAGTCCCAACTCTGGGGAAATCTTCCCAAGGGGGCACAACGAGGCTTCTATTCTGGGTTCCCAGTCTCCACCTCCCTCTGCCAGCTCAGGGGCTTCTTCCCTTAAGTTTGCCACAGATGGGGTGAGTGTCTGCATTTCTGAAACTGCGCCTGTTACTCTCCCACCAACCCCCAAAGTACTGTCAGTGTCTCTGGGTTCTAGGCTGCTGTCTGGGCACAGCTCTCTTCTAGATGGCTCCATGTCATCGGGCATGTGCTTCCCACTCAGAACCCCAGCATGGGCTTCACTGGCTGCTGCCAGTTGTGCCCCAAGGCCTTGCATGGATCCCTGGGCTGCCTCACCAACAGGAATGCTCCCACTGCTCAGGGTTAGTTGTGGGGTCCTATTGAGCTTACTAAACCATGGTTGCCCAGATGGGAGTGGGTGCAAGCTGCAGATCCTTCTAGACAGCCAAGAAATGGGCAGGTTGGACTGAGGGCAAGATTTGTGGAAAGGGCATTGATTTGGAAGTCATACAATCCTGGGCTCAAATTCTGACAATGCCACTCATTGGCTGTGTGAGTTTGGGCTAACTGTCCACCCCTCTGAGCCTCTACTTCCTCATCTCGAAAGTAAAAGAATAATGATAATAATGGCTTCTAATATACACAGTGCTAACTATGAGCCATGCACAGTTCTTATTGCTTTATAGTATTTTCTTTTTTAATTCTCAAAACAATGCTAGAAGGTAAGTACTATCATTTTCTCTATTTTACTGGCAAGGAAATGAAGGCACAGGGAAGTTGAGCAATTTGTCTAAGGCCACACAGCTTGCTGTCGTGAAGCCAGACCTGAGCCAGGGAGTGGAATCCCGAGCTCTAACCTCACCACAGAGTGATTTCAGCTGCAATAATGCAGCTAAAATGTTTAGCTTGGTGCCTATCACGGGGACAGCATCCAATGAGTATTTGTTTTCTTCCTTTGCTTCCTCCCTGTAATGAAGGGTTATCAAGGCCAGCTAGACCCGCTCATGGCAGAACGCCCAGGGAGCTGGAAATTAGAAGCATGTCACTGGGATTTCCAGTTCGTTTGAGAGAAGAGGCAAAGGCATTTATTCTGTTGCCTGAGAAACATTTCCCAAAGCCGAGTGTAGAAGAACGGGTGATGAAAACTGAATTAACCTCTCCACCCTGCCCACTGCACATTTATTGCTCTCCTCAGCTTAGCACAATCCTCCTTCTCCACTTGGGACAATCTCATCTCAGGACCTGCTTTTCTGTAAAATGAGTCTAAGGAATCACAGCCTTGTAGAAGGCTGAATTTGGAAGGAGCCTCAGAGGTTCCCAGATTCTCTCCTGGGCCTCAGCGGAATTCCCTTAGCAGATGGAATCTTGGCTTAGGGAAGGGAAGTAAGTCTGAAGATTTGAAAGAAGGATTCAAAGAAGCGAAGGATGAAAAGAAGGAAGGAAGATAGAAAGGAAGGAAATTAGTATTTCTTGAGATTGGGGTTAGGCATGTCCTCACCCCACAATGCCATAAGGGAAGTGTATTTACCCTCACAGATGAGGAAACCCAGGCTCAGAGAGTTGAAGTAATTTCCCAAGGTCATCAAAGTAGTAAATGGCAGAGCTAGAAACTAAATCTGATTGTGTCTACTTCAATATCCCATACTGTTCCCTACACAGCAGAATACGTAGTGAAGAACTCAGCTGGATCTGAAACCAGGGTCTCAACCTCCTGCCCCACACACCTATGTGGCTCCTAATTCCCACTGAGGAGCAGGATTTAGTGTCTCACCTTCAGGGCCAGGCCTCAGAGCCAGGCCTGGAATAGGCCAGTCCTCAGATGACTGGACAGTGCACTGCTTCCCATTAAGCCTGCGGGTGCAGGCCAGGGCAGACGCTCCTGCAGGAGCTGTCTCAGGAAGTCCCTCGCACCCATCTCCAGCAGGGGAGGAGGTGTGGGAGGTAGGAAAATGAGAGGCTTTGCATTCAGACTGGCGTGGGTGTAAATCTTGGCTCTGCTATATCCTAGCTCTGTGATTTGGGACAAGATATCCAAATTTGTCTAAGTTTCAGTTTCAAGTGTAAATGAGGAAATGGTGCTAATTTCAGAGAGCTGCCGGGAAAGTTAAATGAGGTTATCTAAGTAAATGTCCAGTATGGGGCAAGTACACAGTAAGGACTCAGTGACCATGGGTTCTCTTCTCTTCTAACAGCCAGCATTGACAGGGGAGATAAACACTCATTATTTCACCTGAGCAAAATAGCCATGTGGAAGTGGGCACCTGGAGTGTTTGTTTCTATTTACCTTTCTTTCCCATCCCAGCCTCCCTTCAAGTTCACTTCTCCTCTCAGTCTCAAGTAGTTAGAGGTAGGATTTTTCAGGCCCCACCCCTTTTAAGTGATGGGACCTTAGACAAATCTCAGGTCCTTTATGTCTTCATCTCTCATACAGGAAGGTTTTAAGTCCGAAGAAAGAAAACCCTGTAATCCCAGCATTTGGGAGGCCAAGGTAGGAGGATCACTTGAGCCCAGGAATTTGAGACCAGCCTAGGCAACATAGTGAGACTCCATCTCAACAACAACAACAAAAATACAAAAATTTGCTGGGTGTGGTGGTGTAGGCCTGCAGGCCCAGCTACTTGGGAGGCTGAGGTGGGAGGATCACTTGAGCCCAGGAGGTCAAGGCGGCAGTGAGTTGTGACAGTGCCACTTGCACTCCAGTGAGACCTTGTCTCTAAGACTGAAAAGAACCAAAAGCCAGGTAACCAATAATTTCCTTGAGAACAGGAAAAGCAAGGTTCTTTTCTTTACATTCTGAGCCTGTGGGTGCCCTTCTATTGCTTCAGGTAATAGAAGGGTCATTTTGGAACCTGTTAGCCTTTACTACCCAAGATGACCCATTCCTCCTCCTGACCTATACAGCCTGGGCCAGAGAGAAAGGGACAGACTTGTCTAACTTGGAAATCTCTGGGACCATTTTAGCAAGTGAGGAATTTGTAGTGCTTTGTGTGTAGAGTGTGAATGTGAGTGAGTGCGTGTGGGGACACATGCATGCAAAGCAGGGTAGATGATGGGCTTTCTGCAACTTTCATCTGTTTCAATTCTCTTGGCCCCAGGCCCAAGATGCAGCTGCAGAGCATGGAAAGTTCTGGAGCACACAACTGTGAGCCCCAAGGGCAGAGTGCACCCTGCAGCTGCTTTGTACCGATGCATGTTGGCGGGCTGGGCTGCCAGAAGAACCTGTTCTCGATCTTCACACAGCTGATCTCTGCACTTCCCTGCAGCGCGTAGCCAGGGTCACATTGGAACACCGTGGAGTCGCCGGCTTCCCAACTGTCACCACTCCGGCTCCCATTCTGCGGGATCCCAGGGTCATTGCAGGACGTTGCTGTGGACACTGGGGCAAGGAAATAGAAGAGAGGGTAAGGTTGCCTGGGTGTCTGCCACTCAGGAGGCTCCCAGCTCATCACCCTCACTGACTGCCCCATTCGTGCACTGCCACAACCAGCATCACCTCCCCACCATCAGCAGCAGCTGTGGCCACAGTGCCACTATTCTCACTCCCGTTACTATCACCGCCTCTACCACCACTTGTGATCACATTTGTCACTCTCACTGATATCACCACCACCATTCTTCCAGTACTTCACCATTACTGTCATCTGCCTGTCATGAGATGCTATGAGTTAAGCATGATTGTACTGTTATCATTATAGATCTGAATTCAGCTTAAGAATACAAGCATTGTTACACAAACAAAGCATTGCAAGTTTGTATAACGTAACTAACATGATCAGAAGGAGGAAGTGACAAGATAATCAAGTCTAAACTCCATGTTGTCAGGTGTGGTGGCTCACGGTTGTAATCCTAGCACTTTGGGAAGTCAAGGCAGGAGGGTCACTTGAGGTCAGGAGCTGGAGACCAGCCTGAGCAACACAGCAAGACCCTGACTCTACAAAAAAAATAAAAAAATTAGCTGGGTGTGGTGGTGGTTGCCTGTTGTCCTAGCTACTCTGGAGGCTGAGGTGGGAGGATCCTTTAAGCCCAGGAGTTTAAGGCTGCAGTGAGCTATGATCATGTCACTGCACTCGAGTGTGGGCGACAGAGTAAGATCTCATCTCACAAACAAATGAACAAACAAACACATAAACTCCATATATTCAATTGGAAGGGTTTGCAAAGGACTTTGGGAGTTGGCCTGTCTAAATGCTGAGCAGCGCTTGTGAGGTTACAGGAAGTTACTGAAGTTAGGTCAAGATCATGCTCTCTCTTGCAATGGCAGACAACCAAGGATCCATCAGACTGAAACCATATTTGAAGAAACGTCAGGTATTTGTAGCAAGTGGGCAGAGAAGAGTTCAAAAATAGCTGAGATATATTAAAAATCCAAAATACTCAGGAATTTGGGAGATCTTCTTATCTAGTATCTAACCTAGTTTAACATAGAGCAGGTGTTTTATAAGTGAATACTGAATGAATGCTAGATGGAAAGAATACATAAATAGAAGAATGAGTGGGTGAATGAATGAACAAATGTGGCATGAGAAAACACACCAGAGGAACAGGTGCAAGAGTTAGTCCAGAGAAAGGAATCTCAAGAGTTGGAACAACCCTGGCTGCCTCCACGGCCCAGAGCTAACAGCGGGGCCTGGTCCCAGTCCCCAGCTATGTCATCCCTCATAGACTGTGCTCAGCAGACTCCAGGGCAAGGAGGTTCTTGAAACCACAGGACAAATAATACTCATTTGATTGGAATATCAGTTTTCTCAACATTTTAAAGAAAAACTACTTTTATACTAAAACAAAAGAATTTATTCTGGATTACAAGGTAAAATTCACATTAGTTTTTAAGCAAAAATGTGAAGCCTTAAAGATATTTTGTGCTTGCTACACCCTCCAGACCTCCTGGGGATACACACCCATCCTCTTCTGCTATCAGGAGGATGTCAGTGGAAAAGTTTGAGAAGCAGCAGCCTAGGGCAACTGTATACACTGATGTCACTAATTATAACCTCTAGGATTGTATACGAGTCTTGAGTTACACAATCTGATACCTTCTATTCAATAACACCTAAAGAAGCATACAGCAAACTATGGCCCACAGCCATATCTGGGCCTATGCCTGTTTTTGTAAATAAAGTTTTACTGGAACACAGGCACACTCATTTGTTTACATATCAACATCTGACAGCTACTGAACTTATTTATAAAGTCAAACATGCATCAATCTTTTTCCTTCCCAGTTAAAATCAGACTTAGCTTTCATCTCTAGCTTTATAGTGCACTGTACACATGTAAATAATCCCCTAGAAGAAAAATAGCTCATTGTTCTGGCCATACTTGGAAGGATTATTTATATGGGAGGGAATAGAGTACAATGATTAAGAGCTTAGGTTTAAGACTCACACACATGGGTTTTGCTATTAACTGGATGACCTTGTATGAGAAGCCTCAGAGCCCACATCTGCAACATGGAGTAATAATGGTGCCCATACTGTAAGGGTCTTGTGAAAATTATAAGAGTTGATGTAGTGGAGAGCTTAATGTGGCACCTACTCAATAGATGGCTGCGATTATGCTTCCCGCTCACCTTTTTTTTCTGTTCTCACTTTCTCTCTTTAATGCTCCTGAATTGGAGCTGCTTGGCGAAGCACCTCGGGAAAGGCTGGATCCACGTGGTACAGACAGGATGTTAGATGTTACACAGTCATGTTTACTTAATAAAGCCAAGCCTGCACTAATCGTCCCTGGCATTTCTGTACAATCCCCTGTCAAATACACACTATAAAGTTAACATGGGGTGAGCCGTTCTCTCTTCCCTAGAGTAGTCCTGGTATTTGCTAACTGATGACAGCAACAGGGAAGGTGACCTTTCCCAAACCTTGGTTATGTCCATAACACTGGGCCATGCTGTCATGACCTTTCTGGAGCCCAAGCTAGGTAGCTTTGACCATGCTACTCTGCCTAAGCAATGCTAAGGGCAGCTTGCCCAAGGAAATTCTTATATTAGAGAAAACCATCCATTCATGTGTTCATATCTTCATGTGCCCATTTGCTTACTAAGCAGTGAGTGGGCACCTATTGTATACATACACTATGAGACAGTCGGGAGGCATGGCATGACCCTGTCTTCTAAGAGCTTTTAGTGGGATGTCAAGTACGTGCCCAGCTTCAAGACGAGACAGAATGTCTGGTATTGACAATGTGCTGAATAAATAGAAGTAAAGTGCCGGGGTGCCGTGGGCTACAGCAATTTTACTCTGAATGGGGAGATTAGGAGGCAGTGGCATCTGAGATGAACCTTGAAGGATGAATAGGACTTCTATGAGCTGGGCAGTGCATGGGAAAGCAGCCTGCATACAGCATAGGAGAGCACCCAGGGACTCTGTCCCGCGTGGCTACACTGAGGACGCAGTAGAGGTCAGATAATGCAAATCTGTGAGGGAATTTGTCAGCACAATTATGGACCTTTTTTTTTTTTTTTTTTTTTTTAAGCCATACCCATCAGCTTGGGCACAGTTGGAGAAAATATGTCTGGTTTTAATTATGCATAATACTCCTTTCCCCAGAGAGTGGATTGAGCCATCTCTTTAGCATTCTACCCTCCTTACTGCTAGGAGATCCTTCCATTGCTTATCCCAGCAATTTCCCAAGTTTGTTCCACGAAACGTTAGTCTCTTGAGATGGCCTTGAAAAAAGTCATCCATGATGGAGTATGTTTGGAAATTGTGACCTACCAGACATCTTTTGAATTTAAGTGCATTAGTATAGCAAACGTTCTCAGAGGTCCCATATTGCAGAACATTTCCTTAGGTCTGCATCAGCCTGAGCACCTCCCCAGCATCACTTGATCATGCAAACTTCTTTTTCCTTGCAATATCAATTAGTATTCCACGGAACTCTTAGGAATAGACAGAAAATGCTAGACTGGAAGCATGCATGAGTGTTAAATGAACAAATTAATAAGTATAAAGCAATGTGATGCTGGAGACTCTCATCTGCTCCCCACGCTGCTAAATGCTCATTTCCACGGAGATGACAGACGTAGAAGAAAAGAGCTAGAAGCAGGATTTGCAACTCTGTAACAATCTCAGTGGTGCCAGGGATATACCCCAACCACCCTTAGCTGATACACCAACTGGGAAAGAGCTCGGGGGCAAAGCCGTGGCACAGGTGCCACAAGAAATCGCTCTGGAATCACCATGGAAACTCCCCCCTCCCTCCCACCACACACACGGTGGAGTAAGGAGATGGTAATGAAGACAGCTGCTGTATAATAAACACGAGCAGAAACCGAGGCAGAGTCACTTGTTCAGGGAGAGGAATGATGGAAGAGGCACTTCAGAGGAGATGAGATGATGCATTCCAGGGAGAGGCAGGACCAGTCATATAAATTATCTCATACTGGGATTTGGATGTTTGAGCATTGGCCATTTTGGGTAGCTCTTTGTCATGCTCCTCCATAATTGGCTATTGCAGTGCCTAATTAATAAAATGTAGATGACTCATGTTGGCTTCCAGTCTTTGCTGAAACCTGCACTCAACTAAGAACCCGAGCGTGCAGCATGTCCCATCAGCTCATTCATAACCGTGCCCCAAGCCACCATCTACTTGTACCTCCCACATCCCTCCTCATTCCCTGTGCTTCAGTCACATGGGGTAGCCCTCCACTTCCGGAACCCACATTCCTGCATCTACACTTGTTCATGTGTTCTTTGCACCTAAGATGCCCTTTTCTCTGTTTTCCATGTAATAGGGATGCACAAGTCCTCCAAAGTCCATTTCAGTGGCACCTTTCCTTGTCATAGATGACTACTTGCTCCTTGAAACACTTTCTTTTCTTGAGTAACTTCTGCTTGTCCTTCGGGTCTGAGCTTGGACATCATCTTTTCTGGAACATCTTCCTTGATGCTCCAAGGTGACCATTATAGTCCGTATGTCTCCATCCAGATGCTTATCTATTTGCATGTAAGTGTCTATTAACCCACCTGTCTTCCCTACCAGAGTGAGCTCAGCACAGACATTTGAACAGGTGCTAACTGTGTAGCAGGCACATAGCAGATGCTCAATAACTATCCTTACATGGACTGAGGGGTGAAGGAAAGTGAGGGCCAGAGGGAGGTGGGTGCCATGTGTCAGGATATGTGGAGTGGGGCTGGCAGAGGGCACGCACAGACCTGAGAATTGAATGGCAAAGCCCTGCTTGCTGGTGAAGAAGTCAGTGCTGAACTGCAGGACGACCGAGTTGAAGGTGCTGTGCAGGTCCTTGGGCAGGGCTGGGCCACTCAGCTCCTTCAGCAGAACCCCGCTCTCCACAGGCCCATCCCAGATGCGCAGCACGTCGTGAACCTCCTCTGTGTCAAACACCAGGAAGTGCAGCCTGCATGGAGAGAAGAGGCAGCGGTCATCTGGGCTCAGCCCCTTCTTTCCAGGGGCTTCTGGTCAGAAGGCTGTAAACCTGCGAAGCCTGGCCCTAAACCTACAAAGCCCTAAACCTATGAAGCCCAGCAGGAAGGGAGAGAAGGCAGTGTCTGGCAGCATCCTTATGATTTCACCAGGCCAGCTCCTCCCAATGGGGCCTCCAGCAATGGGTGCAAGAGAATGTAGCTTCTGTGCATCCTTTTCTTATTATGAGCTCCATGTTGCCATTGTCAGACTGCATCCCTCTCCTCAACCTTACATAGCCCGCAGACCTCTCTCTGAGCCCATATTGTTACCATTCTAGGTTGGGAGGGGAATACTGAAAAGGCAGGATCTGGCTTGGACAAAGGATATAGGTAAAATAAATAATAATTGGGGCTAGAAGGCAGGGGAAACTGTGGAGTCTCTGAGAAGCTGGCCCAGCCACGGTGCAGGTAGGGGTGACCTCATACCTCGGTTTCCCAGAGCAGAACTCTGGGGATATTAGCTATATATAGGCCTGTCTTAGATAATCTCTGCAGACCTCAGGAGGCCAGATAGGGGTCTCCCTGTGTGGGGGTCTGCAGGACACAGACAGAGCTCTCAGAGCAAGGGAGCTCAAGTAGTAACCTGAAATTTTCTGGAACCAAAGATTCTAACAGCCAAAGATATCTTGGCTACAAGCCTGTGTGATTCTCTCTCTTAATCCATTTTTTATTATTGTGGAACAATTTTAGACTTACAGAAAAGTTGCAAAAGATAGTGCAGTGTTCCCATAGACCCTTCACTGTGTCTTCTATTGCTAACGTCTTACATTTCCATGGTGCATTTGTCACGGCTAAGAAAGCAATGCTGGCACACTTACTATGAACTACACTCCAGACTTTATTTGAATTTCACCAGTTTCTCCACTGATGTCTTTTTTTGTGTTTCAGGATCCAATCCATTTATCACTATCTCTTTTTAAAAACATCTTTTTAAATTTTAAAAATAAGACATACTCGAGGCAGAGAAAAGGCAAACAATACACAGATGTACTGAATTTAAAAAAAGTCTCTTTCACACAGCCAACCTGTTCTCCAGAGCTATTCAATTAATAGTAGGTTTGGTACATATGCTTGCAGAGCTTTTTTCAGTGAGCGCACATATACATTGTTCCCTCAAAATGAGACATATTTTATGTAGTTTTCTATAACTTTCTTTCTTCATTTAATACTGCATCATGGACAAAACATCACCCTCATTTTCTTTTTTCTGCAGAAACAGACATTGTTATATAACACAATTTCACATGAAATTGCAAGGAACATTCCCATATTTACGTAGTTTTCTGCATTTCTGTGGATATTTCAGTTGACTTGCCAAAGTAATTCTCGGGGGAGAAGGGCATCTATTTAAAAATTTTAAAATAAATCCTGCCAAATTATCTTCTCAAGTGATTGTTTAAATTTATATTCCCACTAATCAGTATTGATGTTACTATTCTCTCTAAACTTCACCTCATCAGCATTAGATATTATAATGTTGTAAATCTATTCTTCATGAAAATGCTCCCCCATCTGCTAGGCCACAATGGAATCTTGCTGGCAGTTTTGAGTTTAGATGATTTAGTAAGGTTGGGTATTTACTGGGCACTTGTATCTTTCAAATTCTTTATCCATCTTAATTGATGGATGCAAACTTTTAAAATTCTACTTATATATTATGACTTTTATTTATCTTATATATTTTGATTTCTCTTTTATATGATATAGTTGTTGCTAATCTTTTCTCCTAGTGTCTGGTGACTTTTTCTCATTTAACTTTGGTTTGTGGTATCCATTTTGGTATAGAAGTGATTCATTTTATGTAATCAAATATGTTAATATTTTCCTTTAAGGATACTGGATGTCATGTTATACTTGGGCAAACCTCTCCCCCACCCAATGATTCAAAAACAAACAAAACTTTAATCAAAACTTTAATACTTTCCTGGGACTTGTATAGTTTCTTTCTTTTCTTTTTCTTTTCTTTTTTCTTTTGTTCTTTTTTTTTTTTTTTTTTTTTTTTTTGAGACAGGGTATGTCTGTTACCGAGGTTGGAGTTCAGTGGTGCAATCATAGCTCACTACAACCTTCTGAGTAGCTGAGACCACAGGTACATGCCGCCATGTTTGACTAATTTTATTTTTTGTAGGGATGGGGTTTTTCTATGTTGCTCAGGTTGCTCTTGAATGCTGGGATTCAAGCAATCCTCCTGCCTCAGCCTCCAAAAGTCCTGGGATTACAGGTGTGATTCACTGCGCCTGGCTAGTTTCATTTTTTGAGGCTAATAAGTTCATTGTTCTTCCAAATTGACACTCAATTGTCCCAACACCTATCTAAAGTAGCCTTTTCCACACTTTGCCTACCAAAACATCTGTTTACTCCCTCCGTAGCATCTACCAGTCTATCTTTAGTGTACTTATTTGTAGACCATGCCTCTCCCTAACTAGATCATAATTTTCATGAGTGTGGAACCAGGCCTTGCTTTCCTAGGATGTGTCTGACATTTTGGATGGTGCCCATGATGCCCATGGATGATGACATGCTCATAGCTGAAGAATCCTGATTCTTCCTACTGGTTTGAAATGTCCCCTTGGTTGTGGGCTGTTTCTGGACTCTTCTCTCAATTCCAGTGGTCTCTCCTTTCCCTATACTAGAATCTACTTGTGGTACCAGGAATACAGCTACTCAGCTTACTTGGGTTTCCATATTCTCAAATTTTGATTTTTTTACCTAAAACTTACTAATTTCCCAAATTTACTCTTTTAGATGAACGTTATGGTTACCAAGTACCAAAAATGTGATTGAGATTTTGATTGGAATTATACACACATTGATTAATTTGGAGATAATTGATATCTTTATGTTACTAATTTTCCCCTGACAGGAACATTGTGGAAAACTTAGTTTACATACTTTGCAAAGTTTTATGTTTTTCATCTTTGTTATGGTTTTCTTCTTTGCACACCTCTTGTTAAATTTCCTCTTTGACAGTCCATAAGTTTATGGTTTTGGTTCTATTGTGAATGAGATTTAATGTTTAGTTACATTTTCTAGTTATTTATTGTCAGATATATATGTATATATATGTGTGTGTGTGTGTGTGTGTGTGTTTCTTACTTTTAGTCACTAGTTAGTACTCTTAGAAACCAAGAGAATCTCTTGGATTTCCTAGGTGGAATCTTTTATAGATATAGGAAAGGATTCCTCAAAACCCAGACCTGTGTGAGGCTAGGGCCCCACATTTGATAGAAAAGAGGGAGAAGGAGATCCCTAGGACAGAGCACAAACATGCATACTCACTGCTGTGCCAGGCTGCCCCCTGCCTTCTCTGCTTTCTCTGCAGTGATCAATGCACTGTGAAATCGGCAGCCAAGAGGAGACCAAGTGCCAGCCGTGTGGTGTGGCTGTACGTGCTCTCAGAAAAGAGGTTGCTGTAGGCCACACTCATCAGGGAAGGCAAAAGGAAATGAGACCTGAAGTTTGGGTGGCGTGAAAGGAGAGTGCTTTCTTTGAATTTAATAACATGAGATAAGATCCGGAGGCAGACAGAAGGTGAAGCTGTCCGGGAAGAAAGGCAACTCCATACTTGAGTTCAGGTGGTATCAGAATGCCATAGAGAATACAGTTGGATTATGAGAGGGAAGAGAACGAGAGTCTCAAAATTAGCTATGGGAGTTTGGGCTTTATCGTGCTCTAGTTAGAGACTGACTCTAGAGGCCATGCGAAATCCTGAGGGTGAACAACTGAATGAATGAGTGAGTGAATCAATGAATGAACAAATGAAACCCCAGTCTGACAGGAAGCTGAAAAAGGCAAGAATATGGGGACTAAATAGACATGAAAGAAAATGTGTTTCCATAACAACCACTATGTATAAGGCACTTTCACATTAGCCCATGGAGTCCATGCAAGCATCTTTATTTTGTAGGTAGGACTAGTCTCATCTTTAACAATGAGAATACTAAGGCTCTGAGAGGGTAGGTAACTTGCCCAAGGTCATGGGCTGGTTAGACAGTAAGCTGGAATCGCTATTATTTAATACTAATCCAGGTCAGACCTTAGTGCTTCTACTCTTTCTCCTGACAATGCTGCCCACATCTCTAGGAGGAAGAGGTTGTGGTTGAGAGCTAGGCAGGGGCTGGAGAGGCTCTATCAGTCATCACCAGTTTACATGTGAGTCATACATAAGCTGATATGAATTAAAAATGCCAGTTCATTGCATTCGGCTTAGCTGATCTGATAAACAGACAAAGTGAAAGGCTTGGCATTGATGTTGTGGAGAGGAGTGCAGAAGAGGGGAGGAGGAGGCGGGGTTCTCTGTGTGCACAAACAATACAAGTTGGCAACGGAATGGACAGAGGCTCAAGTTCAAGCCCCTTTCGGCACTCGTTCACTTAAACTCCTCCCATATGCGGGGTGCTGCAGTATAACAGTGAAGATGACAAACAGGGTGCCATTCTCCGGGAGCTTCTGGAGATGGGCAATAACCCCCCAGACACAAACTCACTCAAAAATTATCAGCTGTGTCCAGCACAGGGCAGGACATGGCAGAGTGCTGAGGCAGAGTATCCACTTCAGACAGAGTGGCCGGAGAAGACCTTCTAAGGAGGTGGCATTTAAGCAAGATGCCAAGCCACGTGGACAGCAGGCGGGGCGAGAGGTGGGAGGAAGCCTGTGGTGAATAAAGGACAGCATGTGCAAAGGCCCCAGTGGAAAGGCCATGGAGGCTGATGCTGGGCCAGGAGAGGCAGGCAGGGTCAGGGCTGGCAGGACTCTGTGGGTGGGGGAAGATGTTCGGCGTGCTCTATAGGAGCTGAGGGAAGTCACTGGTATATTTTAAGCTGAGATCTGACAGGTTCCGATTTACATTTTAAGATCACTCTTGGTGCCTGGGTAAGAAAAGATTGACAAGGGCAAGAGTGGATGCAGGGAAATTAGCTAGGGGCTGCCACAG